GTGATTGCATCTGTAGTACATTTGTTACGCGTGTCATTGCTAATGTGACATTTGAAAGTTATCTTTAGCTGTACACACTGTATAGTAATTTAATACAATTACTCTACAGCCCTTTGCTAATTAACTGTTGGGACGAAGGCCTCCCCATGCTGCGTCGATCGTGGAGGGTTGCTGATCATACTTCCCTCACGCTGCACAGCGTGGGTTTGTTAAGGGAATGGGGTGCCCGGGACCAGGTCAAGAAATCACTTGCCACTTATGTTAGCCATGGTTGGAAATCGAACTCTAGTTACTATAGTGCAGTGCACGTATCACCGCAACATTGCTCCACCATTCTATATGCTTGTAGAACATTGAATTTGGAAATAATGTAACAATAGTTGTCTCGTGAAAAGCACCATAAACCAATGGATAATATGCTGGGTCGTGTTGTTCAGCAAATAAACTTAAAACTGCAGACAAAAACAATGTTGTTAAGGGACTGACAATGGGTTAGAAATGTTCAGCAAATAAACTTAAAACTGCAGACAAAACCAATTTTGTCAAGGGACTCGACTGTTAAAGTGACCATGCGGACAGACTACAAGAGAACGCAAATACACAACGCGTTGAGCAGGCTCGTTCCAGAGGCCATGCACTCTTGTTCTTCCCATGCAGACTAATAAAACAAACTTTTTGAACGGAACGTGTTGTTGCTTTTGCCAGTTTTGAACAAAAAACTGTACAGACCTGGGCAATAGACTAGTATTAGTATTTGTAAATGTTTTTTTTTAGTTTTGAGGAAACATGGAATGTGTTCTTAGATGGTTCAATCAGCAGGTGGACATTACCGGGCACAGCAAATAAGTAAATTATCGGCTTCATTTTAAAAGCCCCTGCTTTGCTAGACAATCAAAACATTGCGCGACATAATATAATGATGGTGTTTACCCTTCTCTCACATTACTCAGTAGTTTTGTAGGCAACATTGCTCTACAAGGAATTGCTGGACTTACTTGAGTTATCCCTGAGGCTATTCTAGCCCCAGCTTGCCCTAAGTGTCAAGCGAGTTCCTCAGCCTGCTTGCAAACAAGCCATAAGTCCTAATTTATGTCCTGCCTCTAATTGTAGCATTAAAATAACCAATCCATCTTGTGTGTTGGAATTGCAGTGCTCATCATCATCAGCCATGACCAATTCACTGCTGGATGAAGGCCTCCCCAAGTCATCAGCATCGCTCACAGTTATGCGATGCAAGAATCTACCCGGCACTTGCAACCGAGCTGATTTAATTTCCTCGGTGGATGTCCTCTTGGATGCGTTCCATTCCTTGGCTGCCACTCGAGTGATGTGTCCTGCCCAAGCTCACTTACTTTCCTCACCAGTCTGAATGTTGTGTTTCACCTGCGCATTTTTTCTAATGCATGCGTTACTATTTCTACTCGCCAGGTGGCTCCGGTTGAGTGGCTCGCAATCAGAAAGTTATGAGTTAATATCCTGGTTGGCGATTTACTCAGCCCATCATCCCTCTGAGGTCGGTACAATGACTAACACTTTGTGGGAAAGTCAACAATGGTTGGCCTTTAGATAAATTGGCCCCAACATAACAATGTGGCATTTCAACAACTAGCCCAAGGCTGTAACAGGCAATGAACACTGCCTCAATGCTCATATGAGCAATAAATACATTTTACTTTTAGAATATAATTTAAAGCATAACTTCCAATTACACTTATGAAACTTAAAAGTGTGCAACACAAATGACGTGAGTTTCCTTGTACCACCTTGAAACAATAACAACAACTTTAGTAAAAAAATTATGTGCAAGGCAATCCTTAATTCTCTCCACTCTCGATTTTATATTCTTAATTAATATGCAAACTTGCAAGCATGTTCAAGATCTGGTCGACGTATTTGAGCAGTTTTAGTCCGCTGATGGATTAGTGAGAAAGACATGATATCAGTAACCTCTGAAGCACAAATTAAAAAAAAAACCTTTATGAAACCTATCAATGCCACCGTATGGATAGGCTTTCATCCAGCTGTGGATTGACAATGAGTTAGAAATGAAAATAATAATTTCACTGAACCATTCCCGTAAAATGAGGTTAAAACAATATATATTTTTTTAAACCTTGTCAGTCAGTTTCTTTTACTGAACCAAAAGATGAAATAAACCCATTTAGACACATGAACCATTGCCTCTTTTGCAAGGGCGATCTTGGTTACATCAAGCCATCTGCAATCTTAAATGCACAAAATATATGAATATATTTCAAAATATCTAATCTAGACTAAATTTAAGTAATTAAATCACAGACAAAAAAAATAGACGAAGTAATGACGTTAAATTGCACTTGTTATTTTTGTCGTTGTTAAAACCCACCTAAAGTGCTTATATTTAAATCGTGTTTGAGTCAAGGGGATATTCCTAAAACTTCTCATTTTATTTAATCAGGGCTACTGACATTAACTTTCATGCCAGGTGATGCTGGCATAAACAGCCACGATGAGTGAAATACTGTAAATTGTAAGCCTAGTCTGTAGCGACATCGTGTGGACAAACGATAGTATTTTCTCTCTACGTGACTTTACCGAAAGAACCAGAGTAATTCCTGCAGTCACGAAAGCTTCAAATCAAGTTTGAACCACCTCCACGGGGAGGATTTCCACACAACCCATACTTAACTTAAAATATAGCAATCTTTGGAAGAACGTAATCAACCAGGTAAAGTGTTAACTGTTGTGTTAGCCGACTCTCTGTGTTGCATTGCATTACATTTCTAAGTTTACTAGGTTTGTTTTCTCAAACTTCCAATTTCACTCCCCCTGCCGCTCTCATTGACATGCTAATTTCTCTGCCGCAACCCCCCCCCCCTCTCTTTATATAATACCTCGTCACAGAGGCGTTGTTTCTTCTTTGTGTCTCTGTGTGTGTCTCTCTCTGCGTGTGTCTCTCCTCTATGTGTGTGTCTCTCTCTCTGTGTGTCTCTCTCTGTGTGTGTTTGTCTCTCTCTCTGTGTGTCTCTCTCTGTGTATGTCTCTCTGTGTCTCTCTCTATGTGTGTCTCTCTTTCTGTGTCTCTCTGTGTGTTTGTCTTTCTCTATGTGTACGTGTCTCTCTCTGTGTATGTGTCTCTCTGTGTCTCTCTTTCTGTGTCTCTCTCTGTGTGTGTTTGTCTCTCTCTCTCTGTGTCTCTCTCTCTGCGTGTGTCTCTCTATGTGTCTCTCCTCTAGTGTGTCTCTCTTTCTGTCTGTGTCTCTCTCTCTCTGTGTATGTGTCTCTCTCTATGTATGTGTCTCTCTCTGTGTGTGTCTTTCTCTGCGTGTATCTTCCTCTATGTGTGTCTCTCTCTGTGTCTCTCTCTGTGTGTGTTTTTCTCTCTCTCTCTCTGTGTCTCTCTGTGTATGTGTCTCTCTGTGTCTCTCTCTATGTGTGTTTCTCTTTCTGTGTCTCTCTGTGTGTTTGTCTTTCTCTCTGTGTATGTCTCTCTCTGTGTGTGTCTCTCTCTGTGTATGTGTCTCTCTGTGTCTCTCTGTGTATTTGTCTCTCTCTCTGTGTGTCTCTCTGTGTGTTAGTCTCTCTGTGTCTCTCTCTATGTGTGTCTCTCTCTCTGTGTGTCTCTCTGTGTGTATGTGTCTCTCTGTGTCTCTCTGTGTTTGTATCTCTCTGTGTGTCTCTCTCTCTCTCTGTATGTCTCTCTCCGTGTCTGTGTTTGTCTCTCTGTGTGTTTGTCTCTCTCTCTCTCTGTGTCTCTCTGTGTGTATGTGTCTCTCTGTGTCTCTCTCTGTGTGTGTTTGTCTCTCTCTCTGTGTCTCTCTCTCTGTGTGTGTTTGTCTCTGTGTGTATGTCTCTCTCTATGTGTGTCTCTCTATGTGTGTCTCTCTCTCTGTGTTTGTATCTCTATGTGTGTCTCTCTCTGTGTTTGTCTCTCTCCGTGTCTGTGTTTCTCTCTCTCCGTGTCTGTGTTTGTCTCTCTCTCTCTGTGTCTGTGTCTCTCTCCGAGCTTGCATTCACACCTGATGACGGTTGCTTGTGTTGCAATCGAAACGTTATAGTCTATTATTTATTGTATTTAATTTCTACGTGACTTTACCGAAAGAACCAAAGAGTAAACGATAGTATGTGAAGTACTTTACTAAATCAAAGTTTGTTTCTTATCAACGTCCAAGTTGTAGAGTTAGAGTTGATTTAATGTTGATCTGTTATTTCTTGATGTATCACTAAAACTCACAGGAATGTGTGTAGGATTACATAATTCCTATGTAAGATTCCTATGTCGGAGTTACATATACATTCCTACACATGTGAAAAACAATTACACTCTGTGCCCATATTCAAGCAACACACAGAGCCACGTGTGAAGAGCAAAAGCCTGACCATGCATTGCACAAAAACCATCGGCATTTCATGAAGAACTGCATTGCGAATATATAATCTTGGGTCACCATCAAAATACATTTGAGCAAGTGTGACCGACTGACGGCAGCAGTGAAGGACCACCGTGGACTCGTTTAATCTTCATTTGAACTCAGCAGCAACGATCATTAACCACAATCAACGCACTTCCTCAAGAAATGCTGAAATCTTTTTGGGTGTTGTTGCATCTACGGTGCACAGAAGCTGTGTGCGTTTTGCTAACGTTTGTGTTGTTTGAAGCATGGTTTTCTGGCACTCACTAATGTTAATGTTCTGGGGGATTTTTCAAGTAATTCACGCATTTGATTTACGTTCGTACTTTAAACTAATAAGCCCCAATGTGGCAGTGGAAACTCCACGTGTCCGTATGACAAAACCACAATTTGCTTTAAAATACGGTTGAGATCCATCGAGAAACATGACACAAAATAATTATCTTATTTACAAGTGAAACGTGATGGACTTAATGAGTATTTTAGAAAATACAAATCGCCGCCAAGCAAAACACAAATTCGTATTTCCCGCCATTTACGTACCCAAAATACGCCGCCTGATTGGCTGCCAGCGCGTAACGTCACCACGCGACCTCGCAACCCGATTGGCCAGCGGAACGCTGCGGGCGTGGCATCAACTTGTCACGCCGACCATGAAACTCGGCCCCGAGCGCAGCGTCCGCCGGCCGCGTAACTTCACCCAACACGATCGTGACATTTAAATTGCAACAAACGTCGAAATGTTTTACGTGATAGTCTTTTCCGCCTTGTTCGGCATCGTCTTTACCTTCATGCTCGAAGTTTTCATCTATTACCGCCTGGGTTTAAAGCCGGCCAAGTCTGTTGTCGTAGGCCCGAGGGAGCCTACGGTCTCGTCTAGACCCGGTGGCGGGGAGGCGAAGGGGGTCCCCGGGGCGCAGGGGCAGGGGCAAGTCACCTCTTCCCCGGACGGTCTCAGTGCCGGCGAGCCTCCGCCCGGAACGCCAGAGAGCTGTGACTTCTTGAACGTCCTCTTCCTCTTCTTGTTCCGCGAGCTCAGGGACACGGGCACTGTGCGCAGGTGGCTCATCAAGAAGATTCGCGTGGAATTTGTGGAGGTAAGCATGCGACGGGGGGGAGCACCTAGCCTGGCACCGCCGCCGCGGGGACGTTCCCCTGTCGCTCCCGGCTTCAGCTTGGCAGCGAATGTTTACCGATGTTCATGTCGTTGTCAATGTTTTGAGATTGTGTTGGCGGATTTTTTTGTGTCTGGGCATCTACAGCCCTTTTGTCAATCTCCCGCTGGATGAAGGACCTCCCCACACATATCCATGCTGTACAGGTACTTGGGTTGATAGAGGCTTGAGAAAATATACAGTTTGTGGGAGGATAGAAGTGCTGTACAACTGCGCTGCCTGCCACGTTGCCCCGGAGCCAGTAAAAACATTATATACATTACAAGTTAATTTGTGATTGCGGTTATGTCTGCGTTGGTTGTGGTGCATAATTAATACATACAATAACACATCCGTCAATAACACCGCCTTAAAAGAAATAATTAGAATAGACGTTTTGGGCGATGACCCTTCTTCATGTACGGTGTACTGCAAAGAAGTGCCACGGCCCGAAACGTCGCGTTTCACTTCGCCAGGCACTATCCAGGCACAATCCTGCCTAACTTCCAAGATGTGATTGGATTAGGCTCATTTGGGGGTGATTGTCCATTGACAAATTGTATTTAAATGGTCTGTTTTAACAAAACATTTGAGGACATCAGCCAGTGTTTGCCAGCAGCAGGCAATGCGAAAAACGAAAACATTCCTTTGTCAATCCATATCTGTGTGAATGTGTCCCCAGCACCGTGTCAGTCGTGCGAATGTATATTTGGAAAGACTGTAGATACTGTATCTCTGTACAGTATATTGTGTGTATCCTGCTGTTTGCGTAAATGTACTTTGTAACATGCCAGTGAGCGTACAGAGCATCGTACTAACAGATTTAGACGTAGATGATAAAAAGCCAAATGTGCTTGTTTAACCTCACTAATACCCCATTAATCGGATGCTAAGGCTACGTTTACGTTATACATCATTGTATTGTCAGCTCTGCTTACTGTGGGAGCTGTTCCAAATGTTTTTATTTCCCATTGACGGTATATAATACGGTTAGAATGAACCACCTAATTTAAGGGTCACATTTTCTTCCACAGCTGCTGCAGAGCAAGACAGTCGGCCGGCTGATTGAAGGGCTGAGTTTGCGCGATGTGTCACTCGGTGACACTTTGCCCGTCTTCAGCTCCGTGGTGATGCATGAACCAGACCCTGTTCCTGAAAAAAATGTCCCTGAGCAATTGGATCTCGAGGTGAGAAGCCTTGTGCGTGTGTGGAAAACCTGGATCTGATTGCACGTAGCCACACATTCCTGGACCTGCATTATTAACTGCTTGTCTCCATTGCAATCAATAAATAATGCAGGGTTCTTCAACTGGCGGCCCATGGGCCAGAAGGTTCTTGGTCGCCCGCCAAACTATGGCCAATGAGGAGATCTGGTGTGCGTGCAACATAAAGAGGTACATTTTAGTGACATGAAAGGGAGAGAGAGCAAACAAATTAGATGAAATATGTGGACAATAGATAAAGGTTAGTGAGGTTAAAGTGAGGTAACCAAGGGAGAGATGAGAGACCTGGAAGACGTAAGTGGTCGCATATTTGATCGTTACGTCATTAACATTTTATTTCATTACGTCTCAGGTCGATGTGGAATACAGCGGGGGATTTCACCTGGCGGTGGACGTCGACCTGGTGTTCGGCAAGTCCGCGTACCTGTTTGTGCGTGTGGCGCGTGTGGCTGGCCGCGTGCGCCTGCGCTTCAGCCACCTGCCCTTCACGCACTGGTCCTTCGCCTTTATCCGCGAGCCCGAGCTTGAATTCGACGTCGAGTCACGGCTGGAGGGACGGCCGTTGCCCCAGCTGACGGCCATAATCGAAAGGCAGCTGCGCAGTGCCATCTGCCGCAAGCACACGCTGCCCAACTACAAAGTCAGGTGGCTTCTGCAACTGTCCTCGCATTCCCATTCATTAGGTGTGACCACTGGCCTAGCATGGTTGCTGTTGGTCTTGATGCAAGGAATGGAACGGGCCACAACCCCGTCCATTTATACCCTCTTCATATCCTGGCTACTGGACCGCTCAGGTTGAGGGGCCCTGGCGCAGTTGCATTGCCCACGCACTTGCTAGCTACTCCAGTGGGTGTTAAAATGAATTGATCAATTGATTAAAATGAATTAAAGTAGAGGCATCTGCTCACATTGTGTGAATGAATTTGTATGTGTAAGAATTTCCATGTGCTCTAGATTTAATAACATCTTCCCCAAGCTTGTGCTCGGTGTCAATAATGTTATACAAATCTGTTCTAAGATTATATTACTATAAGACACACCTCCAACATTTATTTTAAAATAGTGGAATTAAGTGCTTCATATAATCCATAGGACACTTTGTTTTCGAAAGTGTGATGGCTTGGGTTTATATAATGCCTGCTGGCACTAGGGACTGCTATATTCAAAATATAAATAACTTGATTAATTAATCAAAATACAACCTAGAATTGTGCCAGTTGCTTAGATAAGAAGGGGCCAAATCATTCAGGTCAAATTAGGCATGTTATGATACATGCATTTATTTTCGCAGACTACATGAATTATTCAAATGATATATTATACAAATACTATACAAGTGATATATAATTGTACGTTGAGGCTCATGGAGCAACTGTTAAAACAAGGAATAATACAGTACAAGCAAGATGTTAAAAACAAGACCAATAATAGATTATTTACTCAAATTACAATGTTACATTTTGACCCACTCTTTTATACATTGTGCTTATGTGTGTGTGTTTTTGTGTGTACTCTACTGGTTTTCGAGTGCAGATCCAAGCCGTTCTTTCCTGTTCGAGTTGTTCCACGCGACATCGACCTGTGCATGCAGGACAGCAAGTTGAGCGAGGGTAGGCTGAGGGTGGCGCTTCTGGAATGCAGCAGGTGGGGCCCTTGCAAGCTTACAGTTATTGGCCTCATATTCATACAAAAATACAAAGGCAAATACCACCCAATATTGCGTTTTCAGGCTATTGGGGTAAATGCTGCTAGTCTTCTTATTTTGTATGGCTTACATAGATGCAGACCAACAACTACAATTTCACATTAAGGTGGTCAAGCCAGATAACCACCTCAGGAGCAACAAAGTGTACCGATATGATGCCTCCTCCATATTTGTGGATTGGGTATTGCAACGTTATATGTTGTATGGTCTGTTCTGGATGGCCACAGTCGCACACTGGAGAGTTTTCCATTTTCCATTTGTGCATCGGGTATCTGCATCTGCCAGGGTTTGTGTGGATGCGGTTTAAAGTGGACCACGAGCTTCGTGGAAGATCAAAACCAGGGATCCTTCTGCTTTGGGTCTTTCACCCAATGCTGTTAGTGAGCACATGAAGGCCAATGCAGCACATGAGGGGATGATATGGCCAGCACCATGCCCATTCGCCTTTGTCTCCCCAATACTGATGTTTACCCACTGTACACCAGGTACTGATTGAAGGCCGAGTCAACCTAAGGGAGGTTCAGGACCAATACAGATATTTGCCAATGTTATTGATTGAGTAGGAATCAAACTGGTTGCTAGGTTTATGGTGCAGTGTGCTAACCACTAACACTTGTCGCTCCCCACACACACATGGACACATGCTCCTATTAACCTCAATTATCGTATAGAAGCTTTTAACTCAACACAAAAATTGCATGCTATATGTATGATTAAAAATGCAGCAGTGCATGCACATTCACATCCTTTGCACAATTACTGGGTCAGAGTTCTCGCCTTGCCCCAAATTGAGGAAATAGAATTTTATGCTGATTAAATCTTTTTGCACCTTTTTCGCACTGTACATCAACAACTGCGCTAATTGGAGGTGTTTGCACACTTTATACTAGGTTTGCCACTACCATTTATTATGATTCGATTTAAGGTTCGATGATAAAATAAAGCAATATTTGAGTTTCCCGTAGTTTTTTAATTGTTTTTCACAATGTTATTGTTTTTTTTTTGCATTTTACTGTCCTGAAATGAATTAAGATAATTTAAAAGTACTTCAACTGCAGTTTGCTGCCATTAGTCTGCAAATTTTAAGTTTCCAATCTATAACGCTGGTTGGCTGCCGACGGGGAGCCATTGAGTTTGGAAAGAGCAATGCCACGTCCTCCCATACTCAACAAAGGACTGCTGAAGTCTGCCTCGCTTCTCCCTCATTTACTTCGAAAACGTTTCGGTTTACAGAACATTTCTGCCTGAACATGATTTTGTAGTCAAGAGTCTGCCCGAGCAAGTGATAACAATATTTTTGGGCTTTTTGACCATATTTAAGCGAGATAAACACATGCAAAACATAAACTTGAATCCAAAACGTTTTCTGGATAAAGGAGGGAGAAGTGATGCAGCCCTCCGCGGTTCATGGTTGAGTACTTACAGACCTTGGACTCAGTCTTGTCGGTATGAATTTTGTATATGTAGTAGTGAGATATGAGTGAACACTGGGTCTGGGAAGGTGGTCTGAAGTAGTCTGGAACATAGCCCCCCCTTTTACTCTGTCAAACTGGATTCAGTCTGCAAAGCCTGTTTGCAGCACGCATCCTCAGTGCAGAGTGAAGGAAGGGTTTAGAAAAAAAATACTTGTTACTTTCATTATTATTCTGAACTTTAGTTGGTGTTATTTCATAAATGACTTGTCAGAAAATGGAATATTTCAGTTTATTTTCAAGCTTATGGCAAATAAAACAAGTAACTGCGTAGACTATGTAAAAAAAAACGTACGATACCATTATCGTGGATCTTAAACCGTACGAACTCTCGGGAGTGTTGCTCTATACAATAATGATGGCAAACAAACTTTTGACTCGGGTTTCCCCGTGCCGATGGCTTACGTGACCAGTGTTTTATTATGTTCTGCTCACAGTTTGTGCATTATTGCACTTAGGCTGTGTGCCCCAGTACATGTCAGATTTAATTGTACTGCTCTCCACGCGTGCTCTGTGCGTTCCTTGGCTAGGCTGTACATACCAGGATCCCAGGACCGGGAAGTTGCTGTGCACTGCACATTGGAGCTGAGTGCTGGCCAGTGGAAAGAACGAGAAAGGAGTGCCGTTCGAGAGGTATCTCCACGCGGAGTGCATGGCACCCACCCCAGGGAATAAGTGTATGTTGTTCTAACTTACCCCCAAATATCATTTATCTTACAGGGAAATAATCATGAGTACATGTTTATTTCCAGCCATCCTTTGTGAATTCAATAAAAGACTTTACTTGTCAGCTAAGCACGTGGTTTAGCACGCACACATTGCCCGGTCCAATCCCGATATCCACAGTGCCTTGCAGCAAAGGTAAGTAGGTCTTTGAAGTACTAAATGTTTACAGTAACATTCCTTGCTCTCAAAATTCATATTAAAATGTATAACATACACACATTGAACTTAAAAATATACTTTCAGAGGTGCATTGATTCCAATAAAGGCCTATTTTTGAAGAGGTTAACTGCACGGATGTTTATTATAAAAACACTGATATTAATTTAGCCCACAAAGCGATTTGAAAGGGAAATGTGAATGATTATGTATGTTGAACTTATTTCGCACCATACGTATCCAACCTTGCTAATCGGAGGTGCAGTGAATGACAAATCAATATATATCGTTTTCCTGATTATATTGTAAATGTTCGTTATTTTGATGGACTTTTGTTATTTTCCTTTCGAGCCCAAGCCTACATTTTGCTCGCTAGGTGGTGCTAGAATGCTTCTTTGGACAGTTAATGACTTGCGCATTTTTTACATCGGTGTTCATCTCTTATTGACTCTCTTGGTATATTAGCATGCAGTGAAATACAAAAAAATAAAGTAGATATTATATTTTGGAGGAACATTTTTTTCTATATCTAAATGGATGTTTGCCACTTTTAAATAAATGATCCATCAACGATGTTGTGCCAAGGGTAAGATAAATGCATCATGTTTCTCATGGAAGCAAAAGGAAAAAGTAAAATGCGCTGAAAATATTGCATGTCTACACTATAGCTCGGTTGGCTACGTACAGCACGAAAGAAGTTCAACATATATATTATCCAACATCCCATGACCAAATAATTGAATGTGCTCGATCTTGTCAAATCTCGAATGCTACCCAGGTTTGACTCTGGTTAGGGGAGGACTGCTGGGAAATAGCAGGTGTTGTAGATTTGGGTTCTCGAGATACCCAATAAGAGATGGCAGTATAGCCATAACTTATGACTATATTTGTGTGAAGCTTTGGGTTTTCATCCTCTCCTATGAGTGGATTTTCTCCGTGCACCCCTCTTTCCTCATACATGCCAAACACTGGAAATGTCCAAGCATGAACAAATAGTCTAGAGGCTCATGTTTGCTTTTCTGAGAAAAAATTAGGGGATGAATATATTTTTATGCACCTGATGCTTTATTCAACATATATGCATTTACAAAATAAAATAGGGGTGAACAATTTACCCCCGGTTATTATATTATTTGTTGTGATTCATGGTCACAATTTGATTTAAGAATCGATTATGCTTTACAACGTAGGTGAATGGTGGCATATTTAAAGCAACAGAGATGACGTGCATGCATTACATACAAAGTATAAGTAAAAAAAAATAAATTCTTATGAGATTTGGTGTCTATTGGAAGCTTAGAAATTATAATTAATGAACAAAGCCGTCTTTTGCACATTCGCTTTTAGACAGCTAGCTTAAGATGTGACTATAAGGACAAGATGTGCAGCTTCACTTCACAAGTACTCTGTAAATAAAAAAAAACATGGTGCATATCAGTCTATTGCACGTTTAGAAATTAGTTTTATGCGAAGATTCATTTCACTGATTGCAGTCTTTGTCATAATAAAAAACAAAAGAGTATTTTATGCTTCATCCAGGCCATAATAGCGATTTTCCAAGCTGACATTTTCCATGACGGCATAATTGTAGGCCTACGCATTGCACAAAGCACATGACACAGAAGCACATTATACTTTCATTATTGTCCTGGTCACGGCTCGGAGTGCACAAATTAGTACTGACTTGTGTGCCTTTAAATGTAAGTCCTTCAATGCCATTATCACAAATTCCATTCCATTGTTGTGCAGTGCAAGGCTTATGAACATGTCTCCTTTGTGGAAGCTCAGGATATTTTTGCACTGAACAATGACTGATAGGTTTAGTTAATTACTGAAAATGATTTTGGTGGCAATGATTTTGGTGGCATTGATTACCATTTTAAGTACTTTTTTGTGATCGTTTTTGAAAGTTAAAAGTTTTGTAATTGCTCTGGCAATGTTTTATGCTTTGTTATAATAATAATACATGTATGTACAGTGAGGGAAAAAATTATTTGATCCCCTGCTGATTTTGTACGTTTGCCCACTGACAAAGAAATTATCAGTCTATAATTTTAATGGTAGGTTTATTTGAACAGTTAGAGAGACAGAATAACAACAACAAAATCCAGTAAAACGCATGTCAAAAATGTTATAAATTGATTTGCATTTTAATGAGGGAAATAAGTATTTGACCCCTCTGCAAAACATGACTTAGTACTTGGTGGCAAAACCCTTGTTGGCAATCACAGAGGTCAGACGTTTCTTGTAGTTGGCCACCAGGTTTGCACACATCTCAGGAGGGATTTTGTCCCACTCCTCTTTGCAGATCTTCTCCAAGTAATTAAGGTTTCGAGGCTGACGTTTGGCAACTCGAACCTTCAGCTCCCTCCACTTATTTTCTATGGGATTAAGATCTGGAGACTAGCTAGGCCACTCCAGGACCTTAATGTGCTTCTTCTTGAGCCACTCCTTTGTTGCCTTGGCCGTGTGTTTTGGGTCATTGTCATGCAGGAATACCCATCCACGACCCATTTTCAATGCCCTGGCTGAGGGAAGGAGGTTCTCACCCAAGATTTGACGGTACATGGCCCCGTCCATCGTCCCTTTGATGCGGTGAAGTTGTCCTGTCCCCTTAGCAGAAAAACACCCCCAAAGCATAATGTTTCCACCTCCATGTTTGACGGTGGGGATGGTGTTCTTGGGGTCCTAGGCAGCATTCCTCCTCCTCCAAACACGGCGAGTTGAGTTGATGCCAAAGAGCTCCATTTTGGTCTCATCTGACCACAACGCTTTTGCCCAGTTGTCCTCTGAATCATTCAGATGTTCATTGGCAAACTTCAGACGGGCATGTATATGTGCTTTCTTGAGCAGGGGGACCTTGCGGGCGCTGCAGGATTTCAGTCCTTCACGGCGTAGTGTGTTACCAATTGTTTTCTTGGTGACTATGGTCCCAGCTGCCTTGAGATCATTGACAAGATCCTCCCGTGTAGTTCTGGGCTGATTCCTCACCGTTCTCATGATCATTGCAACTCCACGAGGTGAGATCTTGCATGTAGCACCAGGCCGAGGGAGACTGACAGGTCTTGTGTTTCTTCCATTTGCGAATAATCACACCAACTGTTGTCACCCATCTCACCAAGCTGATGGGCAATGGTCTTGTAGCCCATTCCAGCCTTGTGTAGGTCTACAATCTTGTCCCTGACATCCTTGGAGAGCTCTTTGGTCTTGACCATGGTGGAGAGTTTGGAATCTGATTGATTGATTGCTTCTGTGGACAGGTGTCTTTTATACAGGTTACAAGCTGAGATTAGGAGCACTCCCTTGAAGAGTGTGCTCATAATCTCAGCTCGTTACCTGTATAAAAGACACCTGAGAGCCAGAAATCTTTCTGATTGAGAGGCGGTCAAATACTTTTTTCCCTAATTTAAATGCAAATCAATTTATAACATTTTTGACATGCGTTTTTCTGGATTTTTTTGTTATTATTCTGTCTCTCACTGTTCAAATAAACCTACCATTAAAATTATAGACTGATCATTTCTTTGTCAGTGGGCAAACGTACAAAATCAGCAGGGGATCAAATACTTTTTTCCCTCACTGTATGTTGAACTTCTTTTGCACCATACGTAGCCAACGTTTCATCTTGAAAAGTGTTGATCTCAATTACATGCGGTCGGAATACTTTGCTAAAAATTTCTGAAGCCGTGACGTAGAAAGCCGTTCCGGTGAACCATAAATAGACACGAAATCACCCCCAAGTAAATGGCGTTATTTATTGCCACTGAGCAACAATGCTGATAGGAGCTGTTTACACAGTCTCTTTGCCTATAGAGCATGGGGCCCTGTCCTTGATTCAGTCTGCGGCATGGCCAGATTTCATTCCGCCTGAGCTCCTCTCGGGCACCGGCACGCTCACTGGAGAGGGCACCATCGTGCGCCTTCCTTGATTGCTAAGTCGTGCTCACGACACCACGGTTCATATCCACGAGTAAATTGAATCGTGGCGATAAACCGTGTTGCCTGGTTATGCGACCGTCTGCAGTCTGCAGCTTGAAGGATGGGCTCCAGTTCCCCAAGGGCCCAACGAGCTGAAAGGCTTTTTGGCACTTCGCTTTCAATCAGGGCTTTCCGTGCATTTCCCCGCTCGCCGTAGTTGGCTGCTATTGCGAGCAAAGCAAGATGTAGTTCTGCACGTGAGCCCAAAGTTTATTTAAAACATCCCAGTGGGAAGTGCGTGACTGTTTTTGCAACTCTTACGGTTTAAATAACCAAATTAGGTGTCTCAGATGCTGCATCCAAATGAGCAAAATGTATGTGCAGTGAGGGAAAAAAGTATTTGATCCCCTGCTGATTTTGTACGTTTGCCCACTGACAAAGAAATGATCAGTCTATAATTTTAATGGTAGGTTTATTTGAACATTGAGAGAATAATAACAAAAAATCCAGAAAAACGCATGTCAAAAATGTTATAAATTGATTTGCATTTTAATGAGGGAAATAAGTATTTGACCCCTCTGCAAAACATGACTTAGTACTTGGTGGCAAAACCCTTGTTGGCAATCGCAGAGGTCAGACGTTTCTTGTAGTTGGCCACCAGGTTTGCACACATCTCAGGAGGGATTTTGTCCCACTCCTCTTTGCAGATCTTCTCCAAGTCATTAAGGTTTCGAGGCTGACGTTTGGCAACTCGAACCTTCAGCTCCCTCCACAGATTTTCTATGAGATTAAGGTCTGGAGACTGTCTAGGCCACTCCAGGACCTTAATGTGC